GGAGCTGCCCGTGCCCGCGTCGAGAGGAGCACTGGATGTCCGCGCAGGCTACGGTTCTGGTCGTGCCCGAGCGTTTCTCCCCACTTCAGCCCCTCCAGCCCAGCTTGTCCTACCCCCGAGTCCCCTTGCCCACTTCCCACTCCTACCGGAGGTCCTGCACCACAGAGACCTTCCCGAGGCCTCAGGCCTCTCCCCCTGGGCAGCAGCTCCTGCCCTCTAGCACAACTCCAAAAATCCACCTTGTCCCTGTCCTGGCTGCGTGTTGGGGTTTAACCCCAGTGGGTAGCTGAGCCCCCACAGCCTCACTCCCCCCGGTGGGGATGGAGAGGGTGAAAGTGAGAAAACTCCTGGGCTGAGGTAAAGGCAGTTTTACAGGTGATGCAAAAGCCACGCACAAGCAAAGCAAACCAAGGAATTCCTTCACCCCTACCCCATGGCAGGCAAGTGCTCAGCCATCCCCAGGACAGCTGGGCTCCAGCACGTGTGATGGTGACTATGGCCATAACTCCTAATGTCCCCCCCCTCCTCCAGCTCTATATGCTGAGCGTGACGTCATACAGTACGGAATATCCCCTGGGTCAGCTGGGGTCACTGTCCTGGCTGTGTCCCCTCCCAAAGCCTTGTGTCCCCACTGCCCCTCACTGGTGGGTTGAGGAGCAGAAAAGGCCTCGAGCTGCACAAGCGCTGCTCAGCCGTAACAAAAATATGTCTGTTACCAACACTTTTCCCAGCACCAATCCCAAACACCAATCCTCACACCACCTAATATATAAAGACACGACTCTATCCCCATCAAAACCTCCATGCTGTGTCACCGTGGAGGTGTCGGGGTGCTGCTGCTGTCACTGGCCCTGTACCCCGTGCCCGGGCGGCTGTGCTTCATCTCCCCTGCAGTGCCTCTGTCCCAGCGGAGCGGGCAGGGAGTCCGGCTCTGCCTCTGGGCAGGGACACAGCTTCCAAGCACAGCCAGGCCAGGTGTCACGGGTACATGTTAGCAGGGATAGTTGCCCCTGTGGCTACAACAGCTGCTCCCAAGACAGCCTCTTGCCATGGCACTCCCACAGCTGCTCATGGTGGAAGGAGGTGTTGGAGCTGCTTGGCCTCTGGAACAAGAAGAAACAGTGGAACTGTGGGCAGCCAGACCTTGTCCAATCCCTGCCTGAGGCTTCAGGAAACATGTGGGAGGTGACAGTACTGACAGTGCCAGGATGCTGGATGGCACCTGGAGATGGGGCTTCAGGTTCCCAGCTCTACTGCAACACTCATGGTCTACAGAGACTCCAGCAGCAGCAGGATTCCTGCCAGCCTGGCTGCCCAAGGCACCGGTGCTGTTGCTCCAAGGGTACCACAGGGCTGAGATCTGGGGCCCAGGGATGCTTCAGCCCAGGGGACAAGAAGGGGTCATGTGGCAGGGACAGCCACCAGCACAGTCACTGGCACAGCCCTGGGGCCGTGACAGGTGCTATGGAGCTGTTGGCCCTGAGTCAGGAGGGTGAGTAAGGCCAGGAGAGGCTGTGCCAAGTGAAGTGCAGGCAATGGCTGAGTGGCCGTAGTGGCCCAGGGCCAGCTGGCACCAGCATGGGCCAGGAACACGCCCTGGATGCCCTGGGCTGGGTGCTGCATGGCCCCGAGGCCACATGCAGGGGCCGAAGCCAGGTCTGCCCGCGGCACTGGGGACAGGTCCATGTCCAGAGGAGACAAGCGCATCCGCTCGCAGCCCAGCGCCGGCTGAGTCATTGTCTGGGCTAAACGAAAACACGTGTCTGGCCTCGTCCGCGCCCGCACGGCTCGCGAAGGTGCCGACAGCGTAAACAGGGAGGAGGCAGAGAGAGCCTGTCTGGGCTCTTGGGAGGGCTCTGTCCTCTGCAGGTCCTTCCACCCAACTACAGCCCAGTCACTGTACCAACAGGCCCCCTCCCTCCCTGAGCACTGCTGGACCCCCAGCAGGACAGTGCCAGGGCACAACCAGGGGGCATGGTGGGCCCAAGGCCCCCCCAGACCACAGTAGGCAGGCCCAGCTCGCTGAAGGCTTGCCTGCTGGCAGAGCTGCTCCAGGGGCAGGGTGTTAAGGGGAACAGCATGCAACCAAACACTGGCCCTGGCGTGAGGATGTGCTGCCCTGTGACCTGGAGCAGGGCAAGGCTGAGCGGGGGAGCGTGGGCAGGCCACGAGCCACATCCCCCAAGGTCAGAGGGGTCAGAAGGGCCCTGGGGCCAGCAGATGCCCCTTTGACACTTCTGGCTCCTCAAACTGCGCAAGTTCCTGCCAGAGGCCACAGGCTGCGGATGTGATTTCACAATATGCTGGGGAAGGCTCCCTGGCCAAAGCCTCGGGCTGCTACGAATGCTTCCCAGCTGCTGTCAGCCCTGGGAAGCTGAGCTGGCGCTTCTGGCTCTGCTCCTGCACCGAGCACAGCAGCCCTTGGACAGCAGGGCCATGCATGCCACTGCCAGCTTCCAGCAGCTCCTGTCCAGGGCTCAGCTCTTCCTGGAGCTGACAGCTCTGGGGCTGGAGCCACCTCTGGGGCTGGAGCCATGTGCAGCCAGGGCTGGGAGAAGAGACACAGCCAGCACACACATGGCTCACAGGAGATGGGCTGGGAGTGGCACTAGAATGGGCCCACGTTACACCTGGCCATGGCTGGTGGCCCCATTAGTTGCTTGGGACCACCTCTTGCCCCTGCCCCACAGGCAGGGCCACTGTACCAGTACCACAGCACCAGGAGCGGCGGTGGAACCGGTGCTACCAGTGGTGCTGGAACTGCTGCACCTCCCGTGGTGACAGAGGCAGAGGGACACAGCCACTGTCCCTTCCTACGTATGACTTTTCCCAGAAACAGGCCACCTGTCACCCCAGCCATCACCTCACCCAGCTTATGGGAAAAGGGAAGGAAAACCAGCTTCTGGAGGAAAAGCCTGATGAAATCTGGGTCTGACACGCTTCAGCTGCACACCCCTTCCTCTGCCTGGGGAGCCCCGCGGCGCATGAGGCAGAGCTGGAGAGCTGGGGCTCAGCTGCTCCTCAGCTGCAAACCCAGAGACCGGATGTCACCAGAATCGCTGACCCACCACAGAGGGGTCTGTCGCAATTCGGGGCTGGGCACTAAGGACTGCAGCGGGGCCTGCCCGGAAACCGATGCTCCGGGATGTGGCCACTGCCACTGGGGCCGGGAGCACCCTGTGGTGGCGGTCCCTTGCCACCAGGTGCCACTGTCGAAACACTCGCACCATGCCTGCTGCAGCACAGCCAATGCTTTACGGGAGAGGCCATGGCCAAGAACAGAGCTGGGAGTGCTGTCTGGCATCCCTCGCAGAGCCCAGGCTGGAAGCAGGTTGGCAGGGACTGCCCATGCCCCTCGGCCGCCCGCGCCCCTCCACTCGGTCCAAAAGTCCGTTAAATAAACTCGATGCCCTCGTACTTCACACTCCCGATCCTGGTCTCGGGCAGGAGTAAGCGCCCATCCAGCGTGAAGGCCATGATGTAGCTGGCGATCTTGCCGTTGTCCTCTTCCGATTTCAGCGCCACGATGATCTGGTCATCTGTGTCTGGGATGAACTTGAAGGAGGAGAAGCCATGGGTGGGAACCACCTCGCCCACATGCCCCACTGTCACGTCCCCGAAGTCCTGGGTGGAGCTCAGCAGCAGGTTGGTGCCTCGCCGCTCGTCCGCCCTCTCGCTGTAGCGCTCGTGGCTGGCGCGGCGCGGCAGGAAGAACCAGCGCTGCAGCGTGTCGCTCCAGGAGCCCGACTCGTGGATCAGGTACCCTGCGGCAGGAAGTGGAGTGTGACCGCATGGGGCACACGGACCCTCCCCTGCCCCTTCCCCTCACCCTCCAAAACACTTCACAGGTTGCAGCCCTGCACAGGCAGCCCCTGTGAACATTTCTGCCTCCTCCTGCCCCACTGCTCAGCAGCAACATCTCAGTCCCTTCCAGAGCCCGACAGGGGCACCTGGCACAGCTCGCTCTGCCCAGGGGCCTGGCTGCCAGCCCAGGGTCAGCTGAGCCACCCCAGCTGCTTGTGGCACACTCAGGAGAGGGAAATGGCCAGGGCAGGGGAAGGCTCTGGCCTCTGTGCCAGGACACAGGGAGGTCTCTGACTGCCAATGGCCTTTTAATATCACCCAGTATAATACAGTTCCAGTATCCCTAGGGAGGATGACCGGCCCTGGAGCCATCAAGGGTGTGGGATACGGGGTGGCAGGAGGTTGTGCCCGCTCCATACCTGGGGGTCGGATCCCTGCTGCAGCCCTCAGGGCATTGTAGTTTGCCACCCAGTTCTCGTGGCTCACGTCGCCCTTGTAGCCGATGACCTTCACCCACAGGGGGTTCTCGTTCACCACCTCCCCTGTCGTGGTGGTCCACTCCTTGCCCAGTCCCCCCACGTACAGGTGCTCGTCCTTCACCGCCAGCCACTCTGCCTTGAAGCCTGCGGTGGAGAGAATGGCTTGAGGGGGGCTTGGCCAGCACAAGGGCATCAAACTGGCCCCACACCCTGAACACCACGCCCTAGAGCCCAGTGCTGGGCACAGTGTCCCCCAGGCAGCTGGCCCCTGGGCAGGAATTGCCCCCATCCTGGCCAGGCACAGGGGTCACAGGAAAGGTGCACCCCACCTCAACAAGCCGAAAAGAGCTTCACTGCTCTGCATGCACAGGGCAGGACAGGAGCTCACCTTTCCCCACGGTGCCGTCTCCATCAGGGAGGATCACCCAGGGCACCACCTTGTTGCCCTCAATCTGGTAGACCACGCCGGTCCGGTCGTCCACGGCGTACAGCTTCCCGTTGAAAACCACCAGCTCAGAGAGCTCCATGCCCCGGCCCTTCTCAGCCAGGTGGGACTGCAGCATGGTCTCGTCCTTGTCCCACTCCACTGTCACGCTGTCCCCACTGTCTGACAGCACCAGGTAACCCTTCTTCAGGTAACTGAACCAGGTGTGCTCCTGGGAGCCCCGGGACTGCGTGTCCAGGTCCGCGATGACAGCGATGCGGTAGCGCACGCCCTCGGGGTTTCTCTGGGGGGGGGACAGCGGGTAGGTGTCATTGTAGCGGTCCCCTGCCCGCAGGCCGAGCTGCCAGGTCCGAGGGCTGGGGGGGCCATGTCGTGCTGGGGAGGAGCGGTGCAGGCAGAGGAGCAGCAGCACGAACCCCACACAGGCTGAGGACAGCACGATGGCCTTCCAGCGCAGTCGGAAGCGGGGGTCAGCACCCTTGGTCATGGACGCGAGGACAGGCAGACCACCCACGCTGATCCGGAGGGGGCTCATAGACTCATGGCAGGGCGGGACTGGCATTAGAGTGGGGGCAAGGAGAACCTAGTGGAAAGAGGGGAGGGAGAAGGTCAGATTGCTGGAGCTGGCATCAACTGAGCTTGGGGGGTGGCAGGACACAACCATGAGGGGCCCTATCCCCCCTCCTGTAGCAGGAGAAGGTACTCCCACCTCATGCGTGTAGGAGCCACCACACCCAGGGGCTGTTTGCTGCTGGAACCACTCTCAGCCCCTCTCACCTAGCCCCCACACCACCTTAAGCCAAATGAGCCCCAGTGCATTGGCAGGAACATACGACCTGCCCAGCACCTTTACCTGGCCCAGGGTCGCTGCAGCTCAGGCAGCGAGCCAAGGCACCCTGCTTAGGGTGAGCCCTGTATCGGGGTGTCCTGAGGCACGTCCCCACACAGCCTCAGGAGTGAGTGGGTTCCCCTCTGGTGGTGAGGATGACCTTTGCTGCCTCCGGGGAGGCTGGTCGGCCTGGCCCAGCTCCTGCAGCCCTGGGAACAGGCCCCACTGGTGAGGGCTGAGTGCGTCCCCAGGCTCCACAGGGACACCTTGAGACACGTGGCAGCTCCGCCCGAGCAGGATGTCAACACCTGAGCAGGAAGCACAGCACAGGGCACACACCCTGACCTGCTTAGTCTTAAGAGACACAGCAGACCCCCACCCCTGCCCACACTCACAGTGTATATCCCTCCGGGCATGTGGGCACTACAAGCCCACCCCAGACTGTGCCCACCCGGGGGGACAGGGTGCTAGCAGTTCTCCTCACTGCCACCTCCCTCCCTGCAGCACAGTGGACGTGGCAGTGGCCTGGACTCCTGCAGAGGGGCACCCCGGGCTGAGCAGGGGGCAAGAAGCCCATGCTTGTTCCGTGCCATGCAGCCTGGGGCAGAGGCCCCCCAGCTCACGGCAGGGAAAGGGGTCCCCAGCTGCCATCCCAGGGCTGTCCCCAGTGGGTCCGTCCGTGTCCCCGCGCCCGGAGCTGGGCTCGGG